TTTCTGGCTCCTTCCTCTCTCTTGCTTCCCAATCCCTCTTTTTCTCCTTCTATTTATTCTCTCTACCTGCCAGCCCCACCTATATCCTTTCTCCTGCCTTGCTATTGGCTGTTCAGTTCTTTTTTTTTAGACCATCAGGTGTTTTAGACAGGCACAGTAACACAGCTTCACAGAGTTAAACAAATGCAACATAAAAGAATGCAACACATCTTTGCATCATTAAAACAAATGCTCCACAGCATAAACGAATGTAACACACCTTAAAATAATATTTCTCAACAGTTTCTTGTAGGCAGATTTTTCTATCCATCAGCCAGCTCCCAAATCACGACACAGAGACTTATTATTAATTATGAAAGCTTAGCTGATAGTTTGTTAGGCTTGTTTCTAACTAGCTCTTATAACTTAAATTAACCATTTCTATTAATTTACTTTCTGCCTCGTGGCTTTATTACCTTGACTCTATACTGCTCATGCAGCTTTCCTGCTTCCTCCGTGTCTAGCTGAAGACTCAGCCTTCTTCTTCCCAGCATTCTCTGTGCCCTGAAAACCCTGTATAGCTATTGACCACTCAGCTTTTTATCACAACGATCACAGCAACACATTTTTACACAGTGTACAGAAAAATTCTGCAACAGTTTCTAGTTACCTCTCTCTCTCTCTCTCTCTCCCTCTCCCTCTCCCTCTCCCTCTCTCCCTCTCCCTCTCCCTCTCCCTCTCCTCTCCTCTCTTCCCTCTCCCCTCTCCCTCTCCCCTCTCCCTCTCCCTCTCTCTCTCTCTCTCTCTCTCTCTCTCTCTCTCCTCTCTCTCTCTCTCTCTGCTGCCTGTTGAACAGGATGTATGCTCTCAGCCATTACTCCAGCACCACGCCTGCCTATCTGTGGCCATGCTCCCTACCATGATGGACTCACTCTCTGAAGTTGTAAGCTCCCAACTAAATGCTTTTTCTTTTATAAGTTGCTTTGGTCATGAGTCTCTTCCCAGCTGTCTTAGTCATACAACTCTTACAAAGGAAAACATTTCATTGGGGCTGGCTTACAGTTCAGAGGTTGAGTCCATTATCACCTATGGTGGGGAGCATGGTGGCGTGCAGGCAGACATGGTGCTGGAGAAGGAGCTGAGAGTTCTACATCCAGATTTGCAGGCAGCAGGCAGAGATACACACTGGACCTGGCTTGAGGCATTTGAAACCCCAAAGCCCACTCCCAGTGGCACACTTCCTCCAAAAGGCCACACCTACTCCAACAAGACCACACCTCCTAATCCCTGCCAAGTAGCTCCACTCCATAATGACCAAGCATTCAAATCTCTGAGCCTATGGGGACCATTCTGTTGGGTCTGGGGTCTCGCAATAATGGGAGACAGACCACCAAAGTCTATTAAACCAGAAGTAAACTTTATTCCAGAAAAATAAAAAATTAAAATAATAAAAAAAACAACCACAGGGTACAAAAGATTATCAGCTAGCTGAGACCACAGCCAATGTTGGAATTCTAAGGCTGTGGCAGCTGGAGGGGGTTATGAGCCTCTTTTTATAGTAAGGGGTAAGCATGAGACATAGACAAAGGAAATTTTTACAATTTTAAAGTTAAAACTTTTGGAGACAAATTGTCTTAGGTTTTTATAATTTTTCCATGAACAAGGTTTTAGGGGGTTTTGGCTAAACAATATTTGTATATCCTGCAGCCCTTCTTGACTCAGTTAATTGATGTTTGTCCAAACCTGCAGCTTCTCCTGACACAGCTGGGTTCCCATTGGGGGGAGGGCGTGGGGGAGTGGGGTGGTGGGGAATGCGAAACAACGCAAGGCAGGTGGTTGTCACACAGAACTCATTAAAAGTGAACTTTGGTTTCGGCAGTGAGTGGTAGGGGGCTGTGGAAGAATAGCTAACCCAGGGCTGCAAAGGGCAATCTTTTTTTCAAGACAGGGTTTCTCCGTGTAATTTTGGTGCCTGTCCTAGGTCTCACTCTGTAGACCAGGCTGGCCTCGAACTCACAGAGATCTGCCTGCCTCTGCCTCCCAAGTGCTGGGATTAAAGGTGTGCGCCACCGCCACCCGCTGCAAAGGGCAATCCTTAGTAAGAGAAAAACTAACATTTGGGATATTGACAGAGCTGCCCATCTTAAAACCCGGACGGGCCCAGTTAAAGGTTAATCCTTTTTTTTGCTAGCCAAGCTGATGGTTGTCAGTTTTTATTTTTAAGTTTATAGTTTTATATTTCCATATTCCTGGACCTTCAATTCCTATTCAAGCCGCCACAACAACAGAAAAGTAGCTAAGACAAGGCTCCAGCGCTTAGTGAGAACGCTTCCACCCCATTCTCTGACAGCAGTACTTCCTATCTTAATGCTTACTGTTACTTCTTATGGTCACTGATTTCACATCCGTCTTTCTTTCTAGGTGCTAAAAGTCTAGGAAGCCAAAAGCCACTCTGGTTTAATCTTGTGACATCACTGCCTAGGTAGTCCTGATTGTCCTGGAACTCCCTATGTAGACCAGGATGGGCTCAGACTCACAGACAGCCTCCTGCCTCTGCTTTCCAAGTGCTGGGAGTTTTAAAGGTTTGCGACACCACGCTAGCTTGGAATTATTTTTTTCCTTCCGCCACCAGGGACTGAATCTAGGGTCTCACACGTGAGAAGCAAGCATTCGACCACTAAGATACACACTCAGCCTCTTCTTGCTTCTTGGGACAAGGGCTCACTAAGTTTTCCGGACAGGTGATCCTCCTGCCTCAGCCCCCAGAGAAGCCAGTTACAGTCTTGCTTGTACCATCAGGCCTAACTCCGAAACTTCTTAAATGAATTAATGATACTACACCTAATAATGCTTCTAAGTGGCAGAAAAGGCCTAGAGGCCCTTTCTTAATAATGTTAATTGATATTTATAAAAGTACACGTTCTCAATCATACATATTAAATAGATGATTAAACCTAGTCTCCCTAATCACAAAGATAATCGCTTGCTTAAAGGTCAATTTCAGAAGATAAGTAAAGTAGAAATGTCGGTTCCTGAGACACAAAGCTAGGCCTCGGGCGTTTTCCTGAGAATTAAGACAACCCCCTATTTTATTGTTTTGTTGTTGTGTGCTTGTGTCTTTGTCTCGGGCAACTTTGTTGAAAGGAAACACAGTCGCACCCAACAGGCGAGGTTTCTCTCTCATTCTATCTCACACAAAGTCACCTCACAGCGTGTGTCATACAGGCAGGTTCTCAGCCACAGGCCTGGGATGCTTCTCAGTTCCTAAGGCCGAGAAGCATGATGGCCTCCCTCTTAAAGGCACAGGACTCCACAGCTCCCATGGGAAACTCAATGTGGCGTGGCGTTTCACGGTTCACTAAGACTAAGCTGAGGCAGCGAATTGACAGTGGAGCTCGTGAGCAAAGTGATGGGAGCAGCTTTGTGTTGGAGAGGGCTTGCAGCAGGACATAGGGAGACGTAGCACAGAGAGCAGAGAAACCCCACTCCCAACTCTACAGGACAGAAATCTGTGTATGTCTCAGCCCTCCTCCATGTTCCTTTTCAACTAAGGGTAGAAAGCCTTACCGTGCTTCTCTGTGGAATCATCATGGCCCAAAGTTGGGGTACATTCAAAAGGTGGGGAAAGGAAAGGGGAGAGAAAACTCAAGGGTGGGGGAAGGACTCGGGCAACCCACTGCACACTAACAGGTAAGTGGATTAACAATGTAGTCAGAAAAAAAAAAAACATGTGTGGCACGCGGTGAACAGATCTCTAATTATGTTACAGTCAGGTACGGCAGTTCCTTCTGTAGCCCAGCAGTTGGGTGTCTGAGAAGGGGGGTCCCTGCAGAATTGGTGCCAGCCTGAGTTACATGGTGAGACCTTGTCTCAAAATAACAAAAAGGTGTGCATTTGGGTTGCATCTCTACAACTTGTTCAACGATCCCAGAGGAGCTATTTAAACTAAGGCTTTCCCCATTATCTATAAAGACAAGAATAATGAAACATGCTTTAACTGGAGCTGTGAAGATAAATAAGAGACATTAGCAAACCACTGAACAGAGGACCTGGTCGAAGAGGCAATGATTATTTTGTAGCAATATTATCAACCTCAGAAAGACAACCAGTGGGAGACAGGTCTGTAGCTGGAGTTTTCCTGCCTGGCCCACAGTCTGGACAAATCTCTCACCCGCCAGTCCCAAGCCGCTCAAACCCGATCAAGTAAACACAGAGACTTATATTGGTTACAAACTGTATGGCCGTGGCAGGCTTCTTGTTAACTGTTCTTACAGCTTAAATTAATCCATTTCTATTAATCTATACCTTGCCACGTGGCTTGTGGCTTACCGGTACTTTACATCTTCCTTATCCTGATGGCGGCTGGCAGTGTCTCCCTGACTCAGCCTTCCACTTCCCAGCTCTATTCTCCTCCTTGTCCCGCCTATACTTCCTGCCTGGCCATTGCCAATCAGTGATTTATTCATTGACCAATCAGCAACACATTTGACATACAGACCATCCCACATCACAGGTCTAACGCAGGATTAATCTCACTGGATTAGTTTCTCCTCCAGGGTTAAAATTCCAGATGCTATTACCACTTCCTCTTCACTTGTGTCTGCCAGAGCGTCACAGGAGCACCGAGCCAGTATGTATAAAGGGCTTAGAACAACACTCCCTAGTACGTCCCAAGAGTTCTGCAGGTGCAGGCTAAACATCACCAGGGATTTTATTTCACACAGCTTGTTTGGAATACCTTTTATTCGTGGTCATATTTCCCAATCACTAGGCATCAACAATGGCCTTGTCATAGGATATTTCAACCCCAGTGCACCTCTGAGGAAGAAGTTTGGGTGGAGACAGGCGTGTGTGCATGTGTGAGCATGACTGTGTGTGTGTGTGTGTGTGTGTTTTAATATATTGGTTGAATGTAGGGCCTCAGTGCATTCTCTGCAAACCTTCCAAGCTACACCCCTAAGCCCTGACTAATGACCTTTCAAACCAGAGGCACCCAGCTTTTCCACAGAGCCAACCACAAATGGTTATATCTGCTCATTTTATTTTTTGAGAAAATGAATTGCACATGAAACAATCCAGCAAAGATATGAAACTAAGTGGTAACTTGATTAATAATAACTTGAAAATGTTTTCATTACTCATTTTGGATTCACAAAGCTCCTGTAATCAGCTCCAGAAATCGTTAGCCTAAAACAGCATCGGGAAAGTGATCAGACCATCAAGTGCCTTCACCAGCAAAATCAAGACTTTGAAGGAAAAAGTCAGTATGCTACACTCCACAAAAGAGAACCAAGGCAGTTGTCTTCAGCCAGGGAGACAAAAGTGGATAGTGCCACGCATGGCCCTGGACCAGCCACTCAGCTTCTGTTAACTTCGTGGCCCTGGACCAACCACTTAGCTTCTGTTAACTCCACTGTTAACTCTGTGGCCTATCTTGCAGAACCCTCTGAAAAGTAAATGAGAGGGACGATTGTAAATTGAAAATTCATCTCAGTAGGGAATAGAACAATAAGGAATGGGGGTGCTGTTGAGGTAAAAGGATAGGAATGGGGGTGCTGCTGAGATAAAGGAGACTTTGCCCCAAAGCCCAATGCTCTCGATTTAATGAAAATCCAAGAGCTTACTCTAAATTGGGAAAACTAAGAAATCTACTATGGCCAGCTCCTGGTACACACACACACACACACACACACACACACACACACACACACACAGTCTTAACACCTCCAACTCTGCCTCAGTTACACTGAGGCAATTGTATTGGTCCGGGTTCTCAAGGAACAGAACTTATAGAATGAAATATATATGTATTTTTTCATAAATATATGGCTTACAAGCTGGGGTCCAGCTAGTCCCACAAACAATGGCTGACTACCAAGAGAAGGTCCATAAATCCAGTAGTTGTTGAGTCCACAACGCTGGATACCTCAGCTGGTCTTCAGTGTCTGCCAGAATCCAGAAGTAGGCTCTAACACCAGTGAAGGAACAGACTTGCCATGGAGAGCAAGCTTCCTTCTTTCATGTCCTTTATCTAGGCTGCCAGCAGAAGGTGTGGCCAGATTAAAGGTGGATCTTCCCACCTCAAAAGATCCAGATTAAAAGTGCTTCTTCTCACTTCAAATTATTTAATTAAGAAAAAATCTCTCACAGGTGTACTATCTGTCACTTTTTAGTTATTTCCAGACGTAGTCAAGTTGACAACCAAGAACAGCCCTCGCATTAACTTGAACTAAGGACGGATTTGGAGAAAGAATCCTCAAAACGTTTCTGTTCCACCGTGTCTTCACGTACATCAAACAGACAAGCCCCGCGCCCCCCGGCCACGGAAGCAATTACAAAAGCAGTGATATAAAAATTAATTCAAGCCGGGCGGTGGTGGCGCACGCCTTTAATCCCAGCACTCGGGAGGCAGAGCCAGGCGGATCTCTGTGAGTTCGAGGCCAGCCTGGTCTCCAAAGCGAGTTCCAGGAAAGGCGCAAAGCTACACAGAGAAACCCTGTTTGAAAAACCAAAAAAAAAAAAAAAAAATTAATTCAATAATAAGTACTTGAGCGTCTGGGCTGTGTCAGACATTTGTGGGCTCTGGAGGTATGAGAACATCAGGCCAACTTCACCAGAGACAGCGTAAACAAGAAAGCAAACAACTTCAGACGGTGGAGGCAGGAAGGAAAATGCTACTCCTCGAGTGGGTTAATTAGAAAGATCGCGTCATGAGTCCAGAGCAAAAAATGAGCAGTCTCTGCGGGAACCTGCCACCGCAGAGGTTAACGCAAAGTATTAAATGGGGGGTAAAATCACAAGCCACGAACAGGGATTCTAAAGCCTGAGGCAGAACCCCAACAGACTTCTACCAAATCCGCAGCAACGCGGAACGTTCGTGATGGTAAATCTGTTAAAGGCGAGGACACCGCCCTAAGCACAGGAAACCGCCCGTACCCAGGACTTCAGTTGTAGATGACTGGTACACAGCATTCGTCCACACAGGTTTAGGTGTGTCCTGGAGCCCTCTAACCGCCAAAGCAATCAAATCATCTCACTTTAGGTCCATCAATAAAGCGCCCGAACACCACAGTGTAGAACACGGAAGAAACCCGCCCAGAGGCCGACCTCCATTGACCTAGTTTAAAACTCCAAGAAGCTAAACGGGGTGCTAGGAGCTCTACAGCCAACTGCAAACCAGCTCAGGGAACCTCAAAACTACAAATGCTTACAACTGAAGTGCACCTTCTCCAAGACCCTTAAAGTAACTTTGGGATAGGAACTAGAAACTAGTGCAAGTGGACAAAGCTTTCCTGATTGAAGCGGGTGGCTCTTGCAAGAGACTTTAGAAAGCAAAAGAGCCAGCGAGCGCCTCATCCAGGAGGGCTTCTACTTGGAGCTGGTGTACTTGGTGACGGCCTTGGTGCCCTCGGACACGGCGTGCTTGGCCAGCTCCCCGGGCAGCAGCAGGCGCACGGCCGTCTGGATCTCCCGTGACGTGATGGTCGAGCGCTTGTTGTAATGCGCCAGGCGCGACGCCTCGCCTGCGATGCGCTCGAAGATGTCATTAACAAATGAATTCATGATGCCCATGGCCTTGGACGAGATGCCCGTGTCCGGGTGCACCTGCTTCAGCACCTTGTACACGTAGATGGAGTAGCTCTCCTTGCGGCTGCGTTTGCGCTTCTTGCCGTCTTTCTTTTGCGCCTTGCTGGCAGTCTTCTTGGAGCCCTTCTTGGGAGCCGGGGCAGATTTAGCCGGCTCAGGCATGATTGAAAATAAACACAGGAAGGTTGCCTAGTAAGTGGGAAAGCAAGCTGGATCCCGGATGACTTGAGCCTTTTATAACCACCTTATGTAAATTAGGCCTCAAAATGCTTCGCATTCCCATTGGCCCATACACGAAACTTCCGTTTTCAGTACAAGCCTACCTAACAAAGACTCTGAATTCCAGATTTCATTGGACTTCTCTGGGGCCAAATTACGACCAATGAAAAGCTGGCTCCTGACCCCACCCCTAGGAAAGCTTATAAAGGCCGTAAGCCGTTACACCCTAGTACTGTAGTAAAGTCTGCAAGAGTTGGTTTTACTGTAGATTAAAGTCATGTCTGGTCGCGGCAAGCAAGGAGGCAAGGCCCGCGCCAAGGCCAAGTCGCGGTCGTCCCGCGCCGGCCTGCAGTTCCCGGTGGGGCGCGTGCACCGGCTGCTGCGCAAGGGCAACTACGCGGAGCGCGTGGGCGCCGGCGCGCCCGTGTACATGGCGGCCGTGCTGGAGTACCTGACGGCCGAGATCCTGGAGCTGGCGGGCAACGCGGCCCGCGACAACAAGAAGACGCGCATCATCCCGCGCCACCTGCAGCTGGCCATCCGCAACGACGAGGAGCTCAACAAGCTGCTGGGCAAAGTGACGATCGCGCAGGGCGGCGTCCTGCCCAACATCCAGGCGGTGCTGCTGCCCAAGAAGACCGAGAGCCACAAGGCGAAGAGCAAGTGAAACTGACGTCACTCCAAAACGGCTCTTTTTAGAGCCACCATGTCTTCCTAAAAGGAGCTAGTGCGCTGGTTGGTTATCAGCCCTTCAGTTGACTCTTTGGTGGCTCTTAAAAGAGCCTTTATGGGTGGAAGGGGATATTGAGTTACTTGTTCTTGCCGGGTTTGTGGCTCTCCGTTTTCTTTGGCAATAAGACGGCCTGGATGTTGGGCAGGACGCCGCCCTGGGCGATGGTGACACCCCCTAGCAACTTGTTCAGCTCCTCATCGTTCCTCACGGCCAGCTGCAGGTGGCGCGGGATGATGCGCGTCTTCTTGTTGTCGCGGGCCGCGTTGCCCGCCAGCTCCAGGATCTCGGCCGTCAGGTACTCCAGCACGGCCGCCATGTACACGGGCGCGCCGGCGCCCACGCGCTCCGCGTAGTTGCCCTTGCGCAGCAGCCGGTGCACGCGCCCCACCGGGAACTGCAGGCCGGCGCGGGACGACCGCGACTTGGCCTTGGCGCGGGCCTTGCCTCCTTGCTTGCCGCGACCAGACATGATGGCGGAATAGGCAATAACGGCTGCTTTTTCAAGCAAAGGATATGGAAAGGTGAAGCAATTTGGTGTAATTTATAAGATCTGCCGGGAGGGGTGAAGGAATAGTAGTTTGATTGGCTGAAAGCGGAGCTGCCTCGAACAGCCAATGGGAGAGCAGGAGCTGGACGCAATGGTTTACATCCTACAGTACCGGAAATGACGGATTTTTTTTTTTAAACTTACCAATCGATAAGCGCCACATTAAAGCTCCCTATTCACACCCCAGGATTTTTAAAGGCAGAAGACTTTCGCGGAGCTGTTTATTTTAGTATGGTAACTTATAAGGGTTTGGTTTGCCCAGTTCAGAGCTGGAAAATCCAAAAAGCCTCCCTCCTCCAAGAGCACAAAAGGCGACAGCCACTCCCCTCAAGAGTATGGGATTTTCCCCTGAAGCTTTGCATTACTCTTCAGGGCTAACCTTTCCTGTCTTTCATAGGCAGCCTCCGTAAGGGAACTGAAGAAGTCGCCTCCCTTAGCCTCGTCTGTGGCTCGCCCAATCCCCACCTCTGTGCTCCTCGGAATCGTTTGGCCGAGGATTGGATGCGAGTGCCATTCTCCTCTTTGCCCTCTGGGAGGCGTCTGTCGCCACGTTTCTTGTTCCCCTAGCTTTCAACATGGCTCCCTCTTTGGATCTTTTCTCCGATTTTCTTAACCCTGCTCCTGTTCTCTCCCTACTTCTAAATCCACGAGCTTAGCCGAACTGTCCTATCTATCCCCAGCTCTCCACTCTGGGAAGGTTTACACGCTTCCAGCTAATCCAGACCCGCTTCTCTATCTCCGACCGCTGTATCAACCAACGCTTACCAGATACTTAACTGTTTGTCTCAACAAGCACCTTACAGCATTTGAACTTGAGCTCCGCATTCCTTTGCCCTCTCCCAAGGATTGCGCCCACAAACTTTCAGGTACCAAGATAGAATCTAATCTTGCCTTTGTCACAGCAGCGTAATGCTGTCATTTACTTCCTTAACATCAACCCGCCCTTTTCCAGTTCGTATTCTTCCCAAAGATTCCAGCGACAGCTCCCAATGAATCGTTCCGTCTGCAGACTCTGGCTTAACGATTGTCCCCTATCACCACCTCCACCCCAGCACCTTTCCTTTAAAATCTTTCTGGAAACCCTCTGTTTCTTCCTTCCCAGTGTCTCCTCCGGCCCCCTGTTCAGCAAGATTCTCGCCCTTTCCTTGGTAATCCTGTGACGGCAGTATGCTCATAAAGAAGACAATAGAGGTCAATTCTACCCTTTTAGCTCTCTTCTAATATTCTTTCTCGTCCTCATTCTTTTTGGAGTTTATTTATTTTATGTGTATGGGTGTTTTGCCTGCACCTGGTGCCAGCGGTGGGCAAGGCCTCGAATCCCCTGGAACTAGAATTGCAGACAGCTGTTAGGATGATGGGGATCGAACCTTGGTCCTCTAAAAGACTAACCAGCGTTCTCGATGGCTGTTGAACCATCTCTCCAGCCCGTCAACTGGCATTTATTGAATGTGCGCCACTGGCCAATGAACAATACGGGTCATTAACACTAATACAAACGATGAAATGTCTAGAAATGGCAGAAGGCTAGTGAATTATGCGAATTGAATTAATGTTAGCTATAGAAATTAGCCTGGATGTTGTTACACACTTGGGGAATGAATGCCCAAATCCAGTCATAGGGCATGAGGTCACAAGTCTAACCCCAGCATTTAGAAGGCTGAAGTATGAAGATTGCCAGGAGTTCAAGACTAGCCTGGGCTACACAAAATTAAAAAAAAAAAAAAGTCAATGAAGGTGTTTCCTCAGTAAGTAAAATGTAGCATAATTCAGAAAATAATCCTAATCCTTTTTTGATGGTTTCATTTCATTTTAGAAAGTGACGGGCAGTGGTGGCAGACGCCTTTAATCCCAGTACCCGGAGGCAGAACCAGGCCTCTGTGAGTTCGAGGCCAGTCTGGTCTACAGAGCGAGATCCAGGACAGGCACCAAAACTACACAGAGAAACCCTATCTCAAAAAAAAAAAAAAAAAAAAAAAAAGAAAGAAAGAAAAGAAAAGAAAGTGAAAGAGTTTACAGAAAGGTATGATTCACAGAGTTCACATGTGACATTTATGATGGGAGTGTGTTGTGTTTCTCCAACGTTAAGAATATAGAGAAAGAGCACTTGCTACTCTTGCAGAATTGGGTCCAGTTCCAAGCACCCTCATGGTGGCTCACAACCATGTGTAACTCCAGTATCAAGGGATCCATACACCCTCTTCTGACTGTGGGCACCAAGAAATACATGCAGGCAGATACAACATTCATACACATAAAATGAATCCCTGGGCGGTGGTGGTGCACACCTTTAATCCCAGCACTCAGGAGGCAGAGGCAGGTGGATCTCGGGGCAATTTCCAGGACAGTCAGGGCTACACAAAGAAACCCTGTCTCAGGGGGAAAAAAAAAAGTAAAAATAGGAGTTTTTAAAATGAGAGCCTGTTATGGGAAATGTATCTAATGCTGAAGTTATACTTTCATTCTAAACTTTTCCTTCCAGAGTATTTTGTTAGCATAAGAAGCCATTCCACTACGCAGCTTCTAACGCTGTCAACTTTTGAGACACTTGGGGTCGAGAACAAAACCCAGATAACAGGGAACACCCACACATAGCCCGGACACCTTGTAAGGCCCTGCTTGAAGGGCCTCTGTCCCCCTTTCCTCGAACTTCTGGATTTCTTCTCAGTGGCCATGTTAGGAAGAAGGCTAGAGGAAAAGGGACTGCCAAACCTCTGTGCTAGAGGCTGGCTACAAAGTGGATATCATTTTCTGTTTGACAGATAAAGGAAAAGGGACTCACGGGGACTTAGGCCCTTGTTGAAGGTCACGTGCTCACTCACTAACCCAAGTTTTCCAGACTCAAAGAATATACTCTTTATGACTTCGTTCATAATCTTTCGCTAACCAGATGTTGGGCATAATGAAGTTACAAACAGTACAGCTCGGATGGAAAGGTATCCTGGCAGCCAGGAGCCAAGGAATATCACAAAGTCACACTGTACAGCAAACCTCACACTAGATGTTTATTGGGAGGGAAAAAGCCAGAAGGGTGGCTGCCTCTCCTCAGGCAAGAAACAGTAACTAACTGAACAGGATAGAGGGCTTCTGTAGATGTCTTGGGAGGGGGTGGAGCTTTCCAGGGTGGAGCTTTCCAGGGTGGCAATTGATGGGATTGCAAGTCCAGAGATTGGGCTTTTTACTCTGTAGGGTGGGGGCAGGGTCCAGCAGTTAGAGCGGTTAGAGGTCCTCAGGGGAGAGGCCTGGCCATTCATGTGGCTCTGGGGACTTACAGAAGTCACTTGTCCACCATCACGCCATCACTTTCCTCCTCTATAAAAGAGAGTTAGTTTGAGACTTTAAATTTCGTACATAATTTTTTAAGGTGAGTTTACATAGGCCAGTATGTATCAGGCCCCATTATTGTCTGTTGCTCCCTAGAACTCCCTTCCCAGCATTTTAATCGGAGCCTTCCTAGAACAGACAGAACAGGCCGTTTGCTAAGTGCACACCATCACTAACAGGCTGTTTCCCTTTGATGCTGCGGGGATTATCTGCCAAAGGCCGCTGAGTTCCTTCCCAGGCAATTTAATTAAGCAAACATTTATTTTGTGCTCTACCTTGTTCCCCTGCCCTCCCCTCCCCGGCCCTCCCCTCCCCTCCTCTCTCTCCTCGCTGCACGGCAGTCCACTCGTGAGATGAGCCAGGCCTTTCCACAGCTCCTGCGCTGAGCCTTCAGTTGCCTGGCTCCCTTCTCTTGACCCGAAAGTTGTCCCCCGTCCAGTTCCAGCCCCACATCCTCCGCGAGGGCCCCATTTCCACACACAATGTCCACACAGCTCCGTTCACATCCTAGCGACAGCATTTGCCCCTCTACCTTTTATTAATGTTTATTTCGCCTCCATGTCCTCTTTATATTTGTGACAATAGTTAGTGATTCCTTCTACCTGGCTTATAGTAGGTAATTAACTATTTTGATGTAAATTAATTAAACAAAACTTTTAGAGAATTCATGGTTTTTGTTTTTTGTTTTTTTCTACAATATTTGTTTTTACTCCACAACACTTTCCAAATGCCACCAAATGCTGGACTATTGCTCGCCTGGTAGAGTACTTGCCTAGCATGCACAAGGCACTGGGTCGGATCTCCAGCACCCCACAAAAGGGGCATGTGGTTCGTTCCTGTAATCCTAGCAAATTAGGAGGTGGCATCAGAAGTCCAGGGCCATCCTTGGCTACAAAGCAAGTTTGAAGCTAACCTGGGATAGATGAGACTCTTGTCTCTAAAAAAATATTGGAGGTGGGGTGCTGAGGAGAGTCACCCTGCCCTAAAAACTATAGTATTTAAAGGTTGTGGGAGGAGAGAAAGAGAGACATTTTCTTCAGTTCTGGAGCCGATGATAAGTTCCATTTTCCTGCAAGTAACCCCTCACCCATGCTCCTATAACCAATAGCAGTTAAACTCAGTGGGTCACAAAAGGAAAAAAAAGACATGAAAAATTAGAAAGATTTTAGTAAAAATAAACATTTACAAAAGAAAGATTTGATGACGGTTCCCTGTGAGCCAGTAGTATTGACTCCCTGGGTGCCTTCTGAAGCACTGGAGATTTCCTGTCTCTTCATACGGTCCACTCAAGCACAACTAAGCTGCATGGTCATGATTCCTGAATTTTGTATGTGTAAATAACGAACACAAAAGTTAGTGAACAAATAATAAAGTGATGTCATATCATGGGGGGACAGTGAGTGGCTTGTTGGGCACCCCAACCCTCATGTTACAGGTATTTGTTGTGTGTTGTGGCCACACAAGGTGTCCACCATAATTTCTCAGGACCTAATACCTAAAATATCTTGATCTGCTCAAGACAGACCCTTCAGCAAATAAGATAGTATTGCAACTATGAATTTATTGAAAACAAAGACAATAAGCTTACTATACACGGTTTACACTTAAATTATTTTCTTTTAAAAGGACTGAATAAACAAAAAATAAAAAAACAATTTTTGCTTGTCAAGTTCATTCCAGTAATGTGTATGTGGTGACTGTGAGTAACTGAGGTGGATATTTGGACATATTTGTTACATCTTTATGTTTCTGTTTAAGTTGTTTTAATATACTTCTCTTACTCATTCATTTTTATTGAATGACTGGCCATTATACATTTATAGTCATCCTAAAAGTTAAGTTTAACTTTTAAAATGCTAAAATGATCCAGTATCATAAGCCTTCAAACAAGAAAAACACTCTAGAAGCCCCACAAAACTTTCTTTGCAAATGCAGTAATAATGTTGGCTCCTTCCAGTCGTACTTATCCACCCAGTGCATTTTCTGGTTATTAATACAGGTCTTACTGTATTGCCCGGTCTTACCTCAGCCTTTTCTACTCATCAGAGTCATAGACATGTGCCACCAAGTCCAAGATATTCCATCTGATACATCCTACTGAACACCTAAGGATGCTCACCGTGAACTTGACCTCACACATTTAGAATATAGTAAATGCCATGTCCTCTGCTGGAGGCCTCTTTCCATGGGTTAGTTGTCTATGCCCATTTAGATAGTTAAATGTCATCTGTTCAGCTTCCCCAGTATTCCCTACCACTGGGGATTAGCAAGTCTCCAGGCCTTGATCTGAATGATCGAGCCTTTCTGTGGCCTTTGAGTCATGACCACCTAGAGTGTGGCCTGCCTTCACTCAACTTCCTTTCACTCACAATATTGACAAAGGCTCCTCTTGTCCCATGCTACCTCAAATACATTCCTCACACACTAGCCAGGGTTGTCATTCAAGTAAACATTTCTATTCTTTTCCCTTTTCTTTCTTTGTGATTCTGTTATGGGTCTGGGGTCACTCAGAGATTCGCCAGTCTGACAGTTAACAAATTCTAACAAAGAAGAGGCTTTTATTCAGATTCTTGTGCCAGGTCTATACCCAAGACTCAAGATTATGAGCCATTTTAGTCAGAGGTTTTTATATATGCTGCGGAATATTTGTTTAGCTACTCAAAGATGTGTTGCATTTATTTATGTTGCGGAATATTTAACTATGTAAAGATGTGTTGCTGTTTTCCCTTGCCTGCCTAAGGCACCTGATTGGTCTAATAAAAAGCTGAATGGCCAATAGCAAGGGAGGAGGTACAGGTGGGACTTCCAGGCATGGAGAATAACTAGTAGGAGGAATTTAGGTGGGGAAGAAAGAAAAAGAGATGCCAGGAGTCAGCCAGCCACACATGAAGGAATCAGGAAAGCAGGACATACAGAGGCAAAATGTAGTTGGATAGAAACAGGTTAAATTAAGTTAAAAGAGCTAGTGGGACAAGCCTAAGGTAAGGTCAGACATTCACAATTAATAATACATCTCCATGTCTTTATTTGGGAGCTGATTGACAGCCTAAAGAAAATTCCAACTACATATATAAGCAAAGAACATAAAGTTACACTCTGCTTACATCAAGAAGAAGGCTACATTTTGCAAACCCTTGGTTATCTGGAACAAAACAAGCTTTTGTTTACAGAAGCAGAAACAACAGTTAACCTTATGATCTAATATCTTGCGTAAACAACACTTTTGTTAAAATTATATAAGATCAGACAATTACAAAAACAATTTTGCTTTATAGTTCTCTTAAGCACAGTAATTTTAAACTTTTAAACATAAAGTTGGCATCACAATTCTTTTTTGACCATATGCTTTCTCTTCGGGTGACTTCATATACACCCCCAGGCACACTCACATACCCCAGGAATTGTGTTTCATCTTCAGTAACACCAGACTAAAAGACACCTCCAGTATACTTCCCAAATGCTAACATTAGTGGACAAAACTTTAATGAAAAACAAAAAAAAATTACTTACACTCAAAATATAGTGGTCCTCCCTATCCTGAAAGAGAAGCATCCCAAGATGCTCAGTTGATACCTGGAACCTCAGATAATGCAAACCCTCCACACTCAGTCATCCCTCA